ATAACGGAGCCAAATCTTCAAAAGCGATTGATACGAGATGAAGCAGCCTTCCACAGCAGTGCACTGGTTCAGCTCGCCAAATCATTACAAAAGCTACGATAAGCTGAGGAGTAACTGTTTTTAGCTACAGCATGATGAGCCCATCGCGACATAAAAAACTGCGAGTCGGACTAGTGTGCGTGCCCTACTTGTGTGTATGGTGGAGTGTACAAATGTAGAAACACCCAGTTGCAGGTATGTATATATATATACATATATATGTACATACATATATATATACATATATATGTTTATATATATATTTATAATTACAGACAGCAACTTAAAGGTATACAAAGAAAACTGCAATAGAAGGGGAGAATAAAAAAAAGGGTAGCGAGCCTCTGGGAAACCGAAGCTCTCCAGAAGAAGGTTGCTTGGAGAACAAAAACACAGTAGAACCTGGAAATTGGGAGGAGTGCTTTTACACTTGGGTGACCACAAATCACAACGATTGCATAACTCTAGAGAGGGTAGGTGCTCAACGATTGAACAGAAGACCAGGGATATTGCATCATAATGACGCAATGGATTTTTACGCAATTATTAACAAAACGCAATAAACCATTATGTGACAAGCCGTTGAGGGATCAGTGTGCAAAACCGGTGGCAGTAAGTCACCTTTTAAATGACCCAATGATTTCTGGGACATCTTTTCCCTGCATTAAGTTTACAACGCCGTTGCCACTACCACCCAGTTCTTTCTGACATGTTTCTCACAGACCATAGTAGACAGAAGAAATAGCGTTACAAAGTCAGTTCGATTCGCTGTCATCGCCAGTGCTACAAAGAAGATTTGAGGATATCCCCAAATCAGGTACTGGCCGTTACACCATCGACATCAACGGATACTTCCCATGGTTGCATGCTTACAATTCAACCCCTCTGTCCCTTCTCCCCCTCTAACAGCACACTAAAATATACCTCTAACAGCAATTTTTTTTTGTCTTTTGGTTTGAGTTTTTCACCAAATTCACATTGTTTTGTGGGTTCAAATGGCCACTAGCGGCATGAAGAACAGAAGGGAAAGAATGAATTGGTGAGAGCAGAACCGGTTCCTACCTTTCTTCTCCAGCATTAATTTTTGCTCCTCTCGCCATTTCTTGATTTTCTCTGGTTCCGGTTTCGCATCAAGTACCGATGAATGGGGGCTGGTGCGTTGCGAC